CCTCTTCTCTAGTACACTGACAGATCAGTCACCTCAGTTGCTTTTCTCCCAACAGTCTTCTTTGCCAACTTTGCTTTCAGTTCAGTTTTTTGAACAGTAACAAGCAACATAGTTATCCTCCCTCTTCCCTCTTGTGTCTGTTATTTAGCAGTGTGGTGGTCTTGGCCATCTATTTCTGCTGCTGCGGCCTGTCTGCTCTAATAATGCTACTACTTCCCAGGCATTGCACAGCTCTCCCTCAAACACCAGGCTTAAATCCAAGCTTGTTTTATTTATGAAACATCATTCACAGACTCTTCTGTGGGCAAATGGCAGGAAAGGCTTGTGGTGAAACCCTCTGGTTCTCCTCAAACAGTTAAACATGTCCTTAGCTACCATGTTCACCTATGCCGATGACCTGTGTATAATAGCCCAAAACACTGGCTTTGACCATGTTGAAAAATCCCTAATTGAGAAATTAATTGGCCCAATCCCATACTACATTGAAAACCAATTACATGCCAACCCTGTGAAAACACATGTGCCTTCCATCTGAAAAACCATGGCCACGTCCAGATGAGCATGGACATTTGGTTCTGTGGGGACAAGTGGCTGTGGTGCATCTTGCCTGCAGCTACTTGTCTCTGGCGTGCAGCAGGTTACCCTAGGGGCGGTAGGGGAGGCTGGGGTGAGTACTGTGCTGGCACCAGTAGGCTTACCTGGGCTCCTGAGGGCCTCCTGAGGGTGCAGCAGAGGCGATGCTACCAGGTGGAGCCTGGCTGGCAGCCACAGCATGGTTCTGGGTAGCCCGGCCCTGCTTTTCAGTGGCATGCGCTGCCTGTGGGTACAATGCTTCATTTTTTTTCTGCAGGTTTTTTTGACCCTGGATATCCAGGGGCCAAAAATACCTGTGGGGAAAAAAATGGAGGAGCAGATGCTTGGACAGCATGCCCTTGCAGCACAGAGAACACCTGACTGTATGGTATATGGAGCTGAAGACATGTTTGCAGCACCACATACTGCATGGCTGGGCTCGTTGGATGCACCCCATGAGGCCAACCACTAGGAGAAGTGGTCCGGGACCCCACTATCTCACTGTACAAATAGAGTTTACCATAGAGTCACCCTCGATTGAACCCTCTCATACAAAGAACACATCATGAAGACAAAAGCAGAGGTGAGCACTCAGAACAGCATTCTGTATAAGCTCACCAACTCGAAATGGGGAACTAGCCTCTCAACCATCTGAACTACTGCTCTGGCTCTCAGCTTCTCCTCTGCTGTGAGTATGCATGCCCTGTATGAGAGAGATCCATACATGCTAAGCACCTTGACCCCTTTCTGAATAATAGGGGCCAATACATCACAGGATGCCTGAAGCCTACCAGCCTAAACTGTGTGTACCTGCTGTCTGGTATCGCTCCACCTGACATCAGAAGAGCAGTGGCCAGCAGGATAGAATGATCAAGACAAACTGAAGATGTGAGACACCCACTGTACAACCATCCTGCAGTGCATACAAGTCTGAAGTCACACAGGAGCTTCCTGACCAGCACCCAACCTCTTGATGCCACACCCAAGAAGACATGACTACAGATGTGGAACAAGACACTGAAGAAAATACCTGCAGAAAAATGGACGTTCCAGCAGCCGAATCCTTAACACGAGGGGCTGACGAACCACGGCAAAGGTAGTGATGTCTTAACCACCTGTGTACCAGAGTCGGACACTTGAAGGAATTAATGAAGAAGTGGGGCTATACCATTGGTTCAGTCACCTGTGACTACAGCACAGAGCCTCAGATTATACAACACCTGCTGCAACACCCATTGCTTGAAGGCGCATGCACAATGAAAGACCTTGCAAAGTACAATAAATAAGCACAGATGTGTATAACACAATGGCCAAATGTGTAGAGACATGAGAAGAAGAAGCTACCAGGTAAAAACACAAGGATACTGTGTACCTCTCTTGAACATGAACTAGGACGATCTAAAACTAGGCTCCTATCCCACAGGTGCTGTGACTGACTCTGAGGGTGAGGGCTCAGAGGAAGAATCTTTACCACAGACTCATCAGACCAGGCGTCAGCACTTTCATACATACCATGTCAGCCTCTGTGGTCTGAAGCACTTTTGTGCTAAGGTATGACCAAACCAATTAGTACTGCTGAATCTAGTCCTAGTTAGCCTGGGAACAGTACTGCATGAGAGCAATCCATGCTACTTCTGGCTGGGGAGGGAGCTGCACTGTGTTGTTGAGTACTTCTGTCTGGCACAATACATTTGTTATGTAGATGTGTCTAAAGGGAAAGGAATTAAAATGGCTGTAGGATCAAAATAAAGCAAAAGCTCTGGCCACATACAGATGCTACTCCAACAAAGCAGGCAGAAAATGTCAAAATACCAGAAAACAATAAAAGGGAGGGAAATCAAGATAAGAAATCCGAGTGATCAACCTCTGACTTAGGCTCCCCCTTGTTGACAGAAGAAAGGGAGCTCTCCAAATCAGGATGAGCAGGGATTTGGTGGGGGAGGAATAGTAGAAACGTTTGATACCATGTGCAGAAAAGTTGCACATACCATTCAGATCCAACTAGAGCAGGTGCCTGTTGTTAAGTAGAAGTCAAGCACCTGCTACTCAAGTCTCTGGGACGATAGTCCTTTTTCCTTTGAGCATGTGATCATAGTGAAATGGGAAGCTCTCACGAGGGGAAAGTCATGAGGAGTCACACACACACTTACTCTATAAGCTATAGGAGCCAGAAAATGTTTTTATAGAAATACCAAAGTTCTATGCTGTGGTGGAATCTTTAACAAAGGGGGTGATGCTACATAATAGATATGTTTTTTTCCTAAGGATCTAACAGATAGAAAGGTGGAAACCACCTTGTGAAAGGAATTGGTGGCTTCCTTGGCATTTTATTAGGGGCATCCCTTTCAGCCTTTTCATGAAAGTATTAAGGGAAGGTTATTGGATACATTAGAAAAAAACTTGACAACTATGGGTTTGGTGGCAAAACCAGGAGTGACAGTAACGCCGCTAAGAACTACCTTTTACAACAACAGGCTATGGCTCTGACTAGATCTGCATCTTGGGGCAGAATATACCCCTTCTCAGATCAGGAGGCTCTTTTGACAACATACAGGTGAAAAAGAGGTACCGGGCTTCAGTGATTCCTTTTGAGAGTTCTGCCTCTGTTTTCTACAGCTTTTGTCAGAGCAAGTCAAACTAGCTAAAATCTATGGTCAGACTAGGTTTTCTATATGGGACTCGAGTTGATGAAGAACATCCTGGCCATCAAGTTTTTTGAACCACTTACACTGGCACACCTTTCTGTCAGTTGTGTAAAAGACTGGGGGCCAACCTTTTTGGTAGACATGCCACAAATTAGCCCTGAACCCTCTCCAAATGTCAGTCCACTCTGCTTACTGCCCAGCCTGTGGCTCTGCTTTCTGCTTCCTGCCTGGTCTGCCATGTGCTCATGGCACGCGTGGCATGTGGGCATTAGTGCTACGGCATGCGTGCCACAGATTGGCCACCCCTGGACTAAAATTTGCTCCTTAGCTGCTATCAAAAATAGGCAACTCTTGAAAATTGCAGCTTCAGCTGTGCAGGAAACATGCTGTGTTAAGATTCCAGCTTCTTTCTTCTTGAAAGTGCACTTCTCCTTCCAAACCTTGCAAGACATGTTTCTGCCATCATCCTGTCATAACCCACAGCATGCTACCAAAAAACTGTGGTTCAGCATAGTTGTTTATAGAGTCCTTAAAGTATACCGTAACCCTATCAAATCACAGAAGAGGTTGGGTTCCTCATTTCTCTCCATTTTACTTGAGGTACTAAGGACTTTGGACACCCAAATTAAATAAGCATACAGGGCATCAGGTAAACTTGTTTGGGATGTGATCAAGGCATACTGTTTGGTGAATGTTGACATACCATGCAGAAAGAGCTGTGCTTCCCTTTTGAAAATCTTTAGGACAGCAATGTTTTTCTAATGCTATTACTAGATACGAACAGGTTAGACTTGTTCTTCTTTGTGTAGTCTTCCTTCGGAGGGAAAATGCTTCATATGAGGCGATCCAGAAGTGCCATTTTGTCATTTCCTTGAAGAAATTTTCTCTGCCTCAGTCTCTCTCTCTCTTCTGATTTCTTGTTACTTTTCATATCTACGTAATAAATTGCTTCAGAATAGGAATTTTGTTATGGGATAATTTCATTTCTGCTTCTAATCATCTATAGCTCCATCTTCTGTCGCTGGTCTTAGCCAAGGGAGAAAACTTAACTTAATTTTTATGCATATGTGTATAGCAGGCCAGTTTGCCTACTAGTTTACTGGTTAGCATTGAAATTATGGTTTATTTATCCTCAGACTTTGTGTGCTGCTTTGGAAGGAATTGTCTAGTGGGCATAGAAGGGGGTATGGCCATGATGGACTGTGTTACAGCACTGAACCACCTCCAACATTACAGAGAGAAAGAAGAAGCCATATATGTCTCAATCATGGGAGACCGCACTAACAGAAAGGAAATTATTGAATATGATGTTCCCTATTTTTTATTTTAAGGTGAACACTTGGCTGAAAAAAAATTCCCTTGTGTTATCTAATACAACTAAAAACTGGAAAGATTTGGGATAGGATGGACTGGTGGTACATAGTAATTATACAGTTAGAGGAAGAGCTGGTAAGATGTCCCATGTCTTAAATGACCAAGTAGATTTATGATGAGGTATGGTATTGTAATACTTTATGTTCCTGTAGATCACAAAATCTTGCTGATTAGCGTACATTGTATGCTAGCTTATTCCAACATGATAGTGGTAGACTTTAACAACATTAAACATATACTTCATGAGAAATAATTTCATGGTGGTTTCTGAATATTGTATTTTTTGTCAGAGCTTTTTCAGATATATGCTGCATTCCATTTTGCCATGACACAGCAAATGTCTTAAGAAAAATCCAGATATTTTACTGTGTTTTCTGACATTATTATTACTTTATTTCTCCCTGGAAGCTAAGCGAAGCCAGTCTATCAGCAACTGTGTCCATCTTTATGAGGCTTTGCCAACCACTAAAAGTGTACCTCTTCTGCTTCACACTGTGAGCTCTCTCTTACCTGGTATCTCTTACACTTCTTGCTCTCACAGGCTTTCAGGTACTGTACTTTAAAGTCATCCTGTATCTAAATGTTCTTAATATTTTATAAACTGCTGTCTCTATCTTCCTTCTGTCCTTTTAATTATTCTACAATAGCATGCATTTGGTATTTTTTATACTGACCTCTATCTGATGGCCTTATAACAGCTTATGTTGTTAAAATAACATTTAATAATCATTGGAAAATGCTTCTTGTTTGTTCATAAGATTAATAAAAGTCTCTGTTCCCTATTACATTTGGCTAGACTAAAAAGAAAGGTTATTTAAGTAGTTTTAGTAACTTTTTTCATCAATGGAACTGTAATCACTGCCGCAATGGACTACCATTTTAGGGAAGAGGAGGACAAAAGTGTTGGGTTGTTTTTTAAAAAAAAAAAAGACTTTTCCGGATCAATATCAGGGGAAATAGTGTTAAAGCTAACTGAATGCTTGGATGATTGGGCCTAAAGCAACAGAATGAATCGCGTTGGAAAAATGCAGTCAGTCAAGGCTTCTTGATAATAAATCTCATTTCCTCTCAATCCATTGGTCACTTCTTAGAGATTAATATAAATTGTGGATATTTTGTGATAAAAAAAATAATTCTTGGTGATCCTGATTTTGGAAACAAAAGAAACCTTCTATCTCTGCTTTCTAGCCAAAAATTATTTAAACATGTAATAAATTTTAGGATTTTTTTCTGTTTTTGCTGAGATGCATGGAATACCACAAACGATTCTTAATTCATTCACTTTGAATATTAAGGATTTACATTGAACTACAGTTTATTTAGCTGTGTCTTCCCTAGTAACTAAAATGTATCTGATTGTAATGGTTTTCTCATTATGCAGAGATATTTATCTCCATTATTAAATGTTTCAATAACTTGATTTATTAGAACCATTTCTGAACACTTGGGGGTTTTTTTGGTTTAGTTTTTCAGAGGTGTTTACATTTAGGGTGGTGGTATTCAACCTATGGCCTGTGAGCCTTCACGCCCTGGGTGTGGCCAAAGCCTGTGCAGACAGTTGGCGAGCTCAGACAGTTCACTGCCATTTTAAGCTCTGGCAGGAGCCATACTGACATGCTAGTGAGCTCAAATGCTCTGTGCAGTCCTCCGCCCATTTCTGATTTAATGTTTGGCCCATTTGAAGGGAGGTGGGGGAGAGGCAGAAAAAAAGATTGAGCACCACTGACTATGGAGCTTCCAAAGAAAGGACTTAAACATTACAGTGCTGCAACATCCCAGCGGCCTCAGAGCAGCCCCCTGCCCTGCCATGCACTTCGCCACTGCGGCTAGGCCGGTCTCCGTGACTTCACTGTGACTTTGCAGCTGCAGGTGGGGTATCCATGGAGACTCGCCCCAGCCCTGCAGGCAGGGCCTGCTGGGACATGATGTCCACTGCTGTCCAAATCCAGCCCATGGGTCAGACTTTGCCCACCCCTGACCTAATAGGAAAGCAACGATTTGATTGATTTCCCATCCCTCCCTGGAACTTGGGCCCCTAAATCAGGGCTTCAGGACTACCTCTGTTCAAGATCCAAAGCCTGGAACCCACTCTTGAAAGCAGACAACTACAAGTATTCTTTGACAGAATTGGACAGAGATCACTTGTTTTAAAACCATCATCATCATCATCTGAGGAGGAGAAAGTGGTGGTGATGCCTGGCTTTTTCATAATACATAAAGGTTAGAGCACTCAGGAGACCAAGCTCAGTTCCTTTAGCAGCCTGTAGGGATTCAAACCCACATATTCCATTTTCTACCAGAATGTCCTAATCAGTAGCCTAAAGGTGGCACCCTTCATGCCTTCTGCTGAAGCTAGATTACTGTGCAGCAAAGAATTAGAGATTCGCAAAGCCAGAAGAAAAGCAAGCCATACAGAGTGCATCTGTATCTGTGAGGCACTCAGCTGAGAGAGGGGATTCCTGGATTCTAGTCTCTTCTTCCTGAGTGCTTATGCAAGTTAATGTTGTCTAAAAAAACAGAAATTAGCCTGAGAGCAGGAATCAGAAATTAGGCTTTCCCCTACTTGCATGCTTAGTGACTTTTATTTTTCAACTTTAACAATCAGGTGTCTTTTAAGTTTGAAAATCTACTTGCTTTCACATCCCACTTGTGGGAAGAGATGTCTGTCCCTTGTATCCTATCTCTAGCCTGACTGCTGCAGGCAGAAGAGGAGTTTGGCATGCTGTCCCTCCTTAGCTGATGTTTTTTGGATCTTTCTCATAAGCTGACTAACCCCAGTGCCTTCCTCTGATGCTCTTCTACCTGTTTGAAGCAACTGTAAGAGTTGCCCTCAGAGACATAAGCTTGCCCCTACCCCACTATATAATTTTTAAGCTCTGTACATGCAAAGATTAGGAGGAAGCAGTTTGACTCTTGGAAGAGCTCTTTTGGAGAGGAACAAAAAGCTATGAGCCTTTCAGGAATCGCATCCTTTATTTGCCTCTTCTCTGCTTTGTTTTTGTTACAGGCAGTTGAGACAGGAAGTGAGATGCAGAAGGGCTACAGGTAGACTTTCTCTGCTTCCACCCATCTTGGTTAGCTTGGCTAAGTACTGAACATGTAGGGAAGTGGCAAGCTAGGGCAAAACTTGGAAGCTTAGGAGAGCTTCCAGGAATGGCCTGGATTACTTGTGGGAAATGATCTCAGGATTGTTTAAGGTAGATGGTCAGTTGCTTTTGAGCCAGATATTGAGCTTAACTGTGGATGTCTATTACTGCTCCTAATGTTTAAAAGCAGCAACACGGAAACAGGTAAAGTCAGTGGACATGGATCCTGACTAATAAAATGAACTGATAAACAAGGTTCTTTTTTTTTTTTTGAAAAGCTACATTAAAAATCATTAAAGGACCAGATAAGATTGAAAAGTCAGGAAATACCAGATTTAAATTTGCAGTTAAGCACCTAACTCTTGTGCACATTCATTAAGGTTATGGAAACAGTGCTTAAAATTCAGTAACTTGCTCCAGATTTTGCATTGAAGTAAAGCTAACTGTTTGCAGCAGGTGCTATTATGATGCCTGGCCATTAGGTAACAGGGAACTGGTTTTCATGAAGCAGTCAGCTATCCCAGGATGAGAGGCATCAAAGATATAGCCTGCAGGCCAAATTTGGCCCACAGAGTACCATCATCCAGTCCCTGGTGCTGCCCCTGGGCCTGAGTTGACTCACAGACCACTGGACTGGCCCTGTGTGCAGGTCCTGGGATGCACACCGCATGTGATATCCACTTCTGAACAGGCCAGAACAGGCACCATGTGCAGCATGGGTCCTAGAGTGGGAACAATGTGTGCTGGATCCATGAGGGAGGAGGTCAGGGGAGATTCTGAGCCTGATCCAGCCTGAGGACCGGGCCCATAGCCTTTTCTTTCTTATGTGACAGTTTCTATTTTCTTCACTCAAATTCTGTTCACTGTATCTTTCTTCTTTGTCTCTTTGCCTTGTGTTTTTATAACAGTTCTGTTTAGCCTACCCAAACAAACCAAATCATGCAGGCTTTTTAACTGTGACCTTAAAAAGTAAGAAGCAATGATATATAGGTACAAGTTACACTAGTGTACTGGTACTGTATTTATTTGCTGAATGCAAGGTTGTTAAATTCAACTGGCCCTGTGACCAGAAAGGCAAACAAAAATGCCATTGTGTATTCTGGGAGTGGCTAATTAGTGTCCCTTGCCATTCCTAAGTTTTTTTGCAGTTAGTCACAGAAGCTGCGTTTTCTTATTTACTCTCTTTTTCATTTCCTTCCTTTTACACTGGCAATAAGGCATGATTGGGTCTGATGCTAGATCTCACAGTCATGCCTCCTGCCATGCGTATGTGGCATTGGCAGGAGGCATGATAGTATAGATTATGCATCAGATGCTATCACACCTTTACCTGAAGCTCTAGAGGGGCCCTAACAGTGAAACCCAAGAGCTGTCTGTCTCTTATAACTGGTTATTGGGGGGGGGTCCCAGCAAAGGTAGATCACCTAAAAGACTCTCAAGCAATGGTTTTTGTTTAGCCTTGTAATGAGAGAGAAAATGTCAGAATGAAGGGTTGGTTTATTTTTTGCAAGATTTTAATTTCTCAACTTTTTTTTTCATGTGTATTCACTATTGTTCAGACTTTCTGAAACTGGTAATGTGCTAAGAATAAAAAGAATCTGGTATCATAAAACTGAACAATGTATTGGTAATGTTGTATAGCAATTAAGTAAGAAAATAATAGCATGTTTTCATCCAGAAATCCCTGTGCACAGAAAGAAATACTGTCTTGGTGACTCGCTTTTAATTCTGCTAAAAGCCTCAGGGTATGTGCTGGAGCAGGGGTTGGCAACCTGTGGCCCAAGGGTGGCATGGGGGTTTGGGAGGTGCTCAGCTGCACTGTGCTGCCTATCCCATCTGCATTGTCCCCCTCC